ATACTTATAATAATTTAATTTAAAAAAATTAATGGAAATTGTTCAGGAAAACGTCTTTAATGTTTGATACCTAATTTTTATTAATATTTAATATAGTATGATTTGGATAGATCGAGTAGAAACAAGCAACAGCAAACTCTTCGATTTAAAATTGTATTTTCGTGGTCGATTTACTATAAATTATATTAAATTGCTTTAATCGTACTCCGCGATGCTAGTGATCTTCAAACRCTATCCTCAAAACCGAGGTTACTCGGGTAGGTAATACTGTAATCAGAAATAGTTGTGTAGGTAGGACAGGTAGGTAAAATGTGCGTAAAGGTAGTGTTTATTATTATGTTAATACTCCATTATCAATAACTACATCTTTTCGAGTGTCTAGTACTTAGTTTTTTAGGTGTTCCTTTATGTATTTCAATAAAATATAAATTTATGGACTTGGATTAAATAACTGCCATTTTAAATGGTAATATTCAAGACAATTGGTAGTCTTTGGTTTAGTTGAAGGCAGAATAGGCAGATCAACTTGGCAYGATGGATATTCAATATAATTTTTATTATGTCTAAATAATTTAAGTATAAACAGAAAACTGTTTACACAATCAAAAAATAGAAAACTGCTCGGAGAAAATTCAATAGAGAGTAAAAAAGAAAATTCAACGGAACATTATGACAGTAGGTATTTTAATTTTTTTATATCTAGAATTAGGTGTTAGACATACTTTTACAAATTGTCAGTTCTAAGCTTATTGGTAAAACTGAAGACGTGACATTTTTATTTCCTTTCTAAAACCCACAAAATTTGAACATTTAATATTTCAAAAACTTTTTTTATCTGAATATTAGACATTAACTATTTATTTAGATATAATGGCCTATACCAGGTGACTATGGGCTTTAATTATATCAAATAACTTAATTCAATTTTTGCTTTAAGGCACCAATGCAGAGCTGTCCCAATCGGAAAACAGTAGAATTCAACTCCTATAAGTAACGGCTAGTTCTTTTGTGTAGTAAGAAAACCCTACATATAGTACAGGCAGTGCCGCGTTAAGCTATGTTGCCGCCCCAGGGCCAATTAAAATATGCTACCCTTAATTTTTTATTTTATGTTGATCCTTAAAAATTTTCCGTCCTATCAAACACCATAAAATTTGCCACCTCTGGGCAGTTGCCCCTCCTTGCCCCCCGTTAAATGCGGCTCTGAGTACAGGAGTTGATAATATAATTTTTGAAATAAATATTCATTTTTTAGATGTTGTATTACATTTTATAATATAGACTTTTTATACATATATACAATATAAACAAGCAAAAATTGTTATTATTTTTTATTAAATAATATAATTCACCATTCGCCATACCCTTTGATATCATTTATGTTACTACCAAAGAATAACACATCTCCATGATTGGCAATAAACATAGATTTTTCATTTACGTATTTCGCCAATTGTTGACGTTTAGATATAATCTCAAGAGCTTTGGATTTTTGATCTTCAAAGTCGTTAATAAAATTTTTGTCGTCTGGATTCAAAATTATTGGTTTAAAAGTTGTATCTTTTTTTAATGATGATTTTATATCAGCAGAACAAACTGTGGTCGAAAATTGGTGTTTAACATTATCAGCAAATTCTTTCATTTTCTCCTGAAATAAAGGACTTGTTGAATCATTGCAATATTTTTTACCAGCAGAACTGTTATCTATCAAGAGGTCAACCAAATTTTGATATTTATGTGTCAAAACTAACTCCGATTCTTGGACATCAAGGTCATTTTCTTCTAATGTTTTGTTGTTGTTTTCTTCTGATTTATCATCTAAATCCTCATTTATGGGTAATTTACTTTTCTTAATTTTTTTTTTTGACGATTCAACATTTTCACAGGAGAGCTGTTTCGTTTTTTTCTTTTTATTCTCTAACTGAATGTCGTCATAATTTGGTAGTACAAGTTCTGTTTCTTTCATCTGTTTAGCTCTGCGTTTATTTTTTTTCAGTAGCATTGTATTTAATTCAWTTTCAGTTTCAGTTTCTTTATCTTCTTTAACAATAATTTCTTCGTGCATATTGTCATTATTATTAATCATATTATCTTCAACACTTGATGATGTATCATGTTTATCTTTATGCATTTTTGAACGTYCTTTTTTGGATTTAAAATATTCTTTCATGTTCAAACCATTTAAAATTTGACCATCATCTTTAACACCTTTTCCAAGTATACATGTCAATTCTTCTCTTTTGTATTGTGTTAAGTCTTTGCCTCTGGTAAATTTGTGGTAACTGAAAAACACATACAATTATTTATGGACTTAATAAAACTATCAAACCTAATTCTTTGATAAACATTTTTGTTCTTTAGTACATACTGAACTCTTGATCTTGAATTCAAAGAATTTTGAACAAGTGATTTTTTAGTAGCTGTATCTCCATTTAATTCTGATAATTCTTGATACTGGTCAAACTTCTCTGTTAACTGTGATAATAAGCGTGAATATTCTTCGCCTGCTTTGAACCAATCATCTGCATTATTTGCTACAAATCCAAATCCTGTAAAATTTTTAAAATTATATACAGAATTAATATAACTTTTAGAGATACAATATTAGCTAATACTCTAAATTTAGTAAAATAATTTAAGTAATTTGCTAGTTATATTTAATGTAATATTGAAAATTGAATAGGAACACTTAAAAACTAATAAAAAATACTATTATTATTATTAGAATAAGTAGGTTGGTTCCTATTGTTAGATATTCTACTAAATTAAAAATAGTACATCGTATTAATAAGTAATGCAATAGTTAAGAATTAATTTACCTTAAAAAAAAAAAATTTAGAAAAGATAGGTACAATTTGTAGCTTATATTATATACATAACTTTTGTATAATAAATTAGTGGACAAAACCTA